ACGAGAGCTTGAGTGGTAAAAACAAACAGCTGGATGGAGTTATTATAAAAATCCGTTCTCAACTTGGCTCCCTGGACCTGTGAGTTGCCGGGAAGGCACACACAGCCTCCTTCCTCCTCTGCTCTGTCCTACTCCCAATTTTTTTTTTTGGTCTGTGTGTTTTCTTGAGACAGAGTTTCACTCTTGTTGCTCAGGCTGGGGTGCAGTGGTACAATCTTGGCTCACTGCAACTTCCACCTCCCGGGTTCAAGTGATTCTCCTGTTTCAGCCTCCTGAGTAGCTGGGATTACAGGTGCCCGCCACCACGCCTGGCTAAGTGTTTTGGTATTTTGAGTAGAGATGGGATTTCACCATGTTGGCCAGGCTGTTCTCCAACCGCTGACCTCAGGTGATCCATCCACCTTGGCCTCCCAAAGAGCTGGGATTACAGGTGTGAGCCACCATGCCCAGCCTACTCCACTTTGGGTCTCAGAAGGTGGGAGCTTCCTGGAGTGCTGTGTGTGTAGTGGGGCGAGGTCATGGAGTCTTCCCACACTCTTAGGTTATCTGTGTTTCTCCCTGTACTGCCTGGTATCCTTTTTCTGATCTAAGAAGGGGAATCCTTCTGCTTTTTTGGTTGGTAGAGGCATCAACAAGAGGTCCATGAGCCCCAGGGAAGGGAGGGAAGGGCAGAGTGAGGATAAAGTAACGGGTAGTTGATGTCTTTAAACAAACGTATGGGAAATTATACATCTAAATACACTTTATTCTTCAGAGTTGTCCCCCTCCAGGCAGTTCATTTTCCCAGTTATTTTGCCATTGCTAAATGAGGCTCAGGCTTCTCTTTGGATATTAACTTCAGAGTTTGTTTATAAGCCTATGGAAGAAAGCCAGTGTTTGTAGTTGTACTTCTTATTTTTTTTTTTTTCTAAAAACATTATTAGTTTGATCACCCATGTTGGAAGCCACATTGATGGAATCACTTACAATTCTTTCAAATTAAATTCGCCCTTAAAGGACAGAGACTTGCCTCAATTCCAAGACTATGACAGACATGACAGACATACTGATGGCTCTTAAGGAGAAAAATAAATACTCACTGGAGCTTCACAAGGTTGAACTTTTTTGTGTGGTTGTTTCTGAGATGGATTTTGCTCTTGTTGCCCAGGCTGGAGTGCAATGACACAATCTTGGCTCGCTGCAACCTCCGCCTCCTGGGTTCAAGTGATTCCCTTGCCTCAGCTTCCTGAGTAGCTGAGATTACAGGTGCACACCGCCACCACATCCAGCTAATTTGTATTTTTAGTAGAGATGGGGTTTCACCATATTGGTCAGGCTGGCCTCAAACTCCTGACCTCAGGTGATCCGCCCGCCTCGGCCTCCCAAAGTACTGGGATTACAGGCATGAGCCACTGTGCCTGGCAGGTTGAACTTTTAATCCCTCATTTCCTGAACCCCACCATGCACTACGCATTGTCTAAGGTACTAAGGTTTCAGCAGTGAGCAAGACACTCTGTGTGCTCATGGAGTTCACATCAGATTAGGGGGATACAAGAAAATATTTGAAGAAGCTTCATAGGATGATAGTAGAGAGCACAGACTCTAGAACCAGATCGCACTATTGCAAGTTTTACCTATTTATGAGGAGTGTGACTTTAGGCAACTTCTCTCCTCTCAGTCTCAGTTTCCTCATTGATAATATAGAGACAGTAACAAAACTTTACTTCTTCAGGGTTTTTGTGAAAACTAAATGTAATGATACATGCAACGCACTATGCACCAGGCACATAGAGAGTTCTATGTCGAGTTACAAGTCGTATTAAATGCTACCCTCTCAGGGAGGCTTTCCTGATGACCCTATTTATAATTAGGATCACACTCAGTCCTCTCTACTCCCCTTCCCTCTCTGTTTTCCTCTGCATGATTTATTCTCATATAACATGCTAAGCAGTTTTACTGAGCGCCTGCTAGGTTCCACACACTGTCCTAGGGGTTAGGATCCTGGCACTCATCCTAAGATTGTCTAATCAATAAATACATGTTGGATGAGCGGATGATGTAAAAAGAGAGGTTAATCATTGACCAGTGTCACAGGGGCATCATGTAATACAGGCGAGGATTTAGCAGTGACAACTGACTTCAGCAAGACGTGGGTCATCTCACTACAGAGGTGACGATGACAAGCATTGCTTTGTTCAAGGGCTAAGAAGTGGGCAGAGAAGGAAATCAGAAGTGCGAAAGTAAGACAAAGATGGGCAACGTTTTGGATGAGCATCATTGCGATCAGGAGCAGAGAAATGGGGGTAGTAGATGGAAAGGAATGTAAGAGGCAAGGAATAGTTTACTATTATTTGATAAGTGATAACATAGCATGTTTGTATGCTGATGCATATATTCCAGAAATTAATGATGGGGTAAGACAAAAGAGGGGAGAGAGAAAATAGGAGAGGGAGAAGGAGACAGAGAGAGAGAGAGGAGATAATTACAGCGAGAGATGAAGTCACCGAGAAGGTGAGAGGAGATGGGATCCAGGGCACAGGTGGAGGGACTAGACTTAGGTAGGGACAGGGGTGTTCATGAATCGAAGTTGTAGGGAAGGCAGGACTTGTGGGAGGGATGCAGGGATACACATAGGCTGTTAGATTTGATGACAGGAAGATGTGAGATTCTCTTCTGGTCACTTTCATTATCCCAGTGAAAAAAGAGAGGTGCTCATTAACTGGGAATAAGGCACTGGGAGTTTGAAAAGAGAAGGAAAATGTGTAATGCAGTTATCATGGAATGGTGAAAGGAGCAACATGCCTAGGGTAGAGGAGGGCAATTTCTAGCAGTGTTGAGGCCTGTTTGATATTTATGGCTGCAGATCTGGAACAAAAACAATCAACATGGTGGGAGATTTTTCTTCAACAGTTGTCTAGCTGCTTAGGGGCAGGGTGAAATGAGAAGATAGTTGGGGCTGGGCACAGTGACTCACACCTGTAATCCCAGAACTTTGGGAGGCTGAGGTGGGTGGATCACCTGAGGTCAGGAGTTCGAGACCAGCCTGACCAATGTGGTGAAACCCTGTCTCTACTAAAAATACAAAAATTAGCCGGGTGTGGTGGTGGGCGCCTGTAATCCCAGCTACTTCAGAGGCGGAGGCAGGAGAACTGCTTGAACCCAGGAGGCGGAGGCTGCAGTGAGCTGAGATCGCACCACTGCACTTCAGCCTGGGTGACAGAGTGAGACTCCCTCTCAAAAAACAAAAAAAAGATAGTGAGGTTTAGCCTGAGTGAGATTTTGTGGATACAATGACAAGAAAGTTAGGGGAGCTGGCACTGGGATGATGGGGTCTATGGTGATTAAAAAGGAAAGTAAGGAGAATCTCTTGAATCCAGGAGGCAGACTTTGCAATGAGCTGAGATAACGCCACTGCACTCCAGCCTGGGAGACACAGAGAGACTCTGTCTCAAAAAACAATTAAATTAAATTGAATTAAATTAAGTTAAATTAAATTTTTAAAAAGGGAAAGTAAAGACATGGTAGGGGGAGAGACAACAGAGTCTGGGGAAGTAGTTGGTCCAATGAATGAAGTCGTGATGAAATTGAATGAAAGACTAGAGCAGATGAGTGGGAGGGTGGCAGGTACAGGTCAGAAAGTGGGATGTTTGAAATTGGGATTTTGAGGTGGGTTCCTATGATAGGAACATGAGAGTGAGGGCTGAGGTGGGCTAGAAGAAAAGACCATGGGAGCCAAGCAGGCCAAGGAACAGAAAGAATTATTAGCTAGATGCCAGGAGTGAGACATGGGTGAGGAGGAAGGGCGGGCAGGGACTAAGGCCATTAGCCGATGATGGGGAGTAATTGGCTGTCAGCAGATAACAGTGACAAGGAGAAAGAATGAGTACGAAATGCAGGTGACCTGTGCTCAAAAGAACTGGGGTTTGTGAAGGATAAGAGAAGAAAGGACTTAAATGTGCCATTGGGTTGGGGGACTGGGGGTAAGGAGGTTACTTACTCCTCTCTAGGTCCTGGGGCACATAGAATGGGGAAGGAAAAACAGCTTTCCTCCACTCAGGGGTCAGTCAGGTATCAGTTAGAATTTGGCAGTAAAGGGAAAGTTCAGAGAAATTGAAATGAAGTGGATGTTGCTGCTAAGACCGTGAGTACCCTGGGGGAAGGTGGAAGGATTTTGGAGGGCAGTGAGCGCTGGTAATAGGTCTCAGATTGGGAAATGTAAGAAGCAGGGTCGGGATGGTGTTGGTGTGAGGCTAGACAGTCTTGGAGGCTTGGTTATTACTTTCAGTGATTCACTAGATGGCAAAAACATCAAAGGACATTTATTTTTGAAATATGTATGCACTTGAACACAAACCCTATCTCTCTTTTTTTTTTTTTTGAGATGGAGTCTAGCCTCTGTCGCCCATGCTGGAGTGCAGTGACGCGATCTTGGCTCACTGCAACCTGGGCCTCCCGGGTTCCAGCAATTCTCTTGCCTCAGCCTCCCGAGTAGCTGGGGACTACAGGCGCCTGCCACCACGCCCGGCTAATTTTTTTGTATTTTTAGTAGAGACGGGGTTTCACCGTGTTAGCCAGGGTGGTCTCGATCTCCTGACCTCATGATCCACCCTCTTCCACCTCCCAAAGTGTTGGGATTACAGGCGTGAGCCATCCCGCCCGGCCTATCTCATTTTTTTAAATGACCCTTGGACTAACAGCCAGGTGGCGATGGAGTTCCTGAGCTGTTCTGGGTCTCATTTTATGATCTCAAGTCTGTCCCCGGTGTCACTGTGATCATGCCCAGGATAGCAAATGGCGGACCTGGAAATGAACCCATTCCTGCCTGAGCTCGGCACTGTGCTGCCCCCTAGGGCTGGCGGCAGGAGCTGCAGCTGCTCTGCCAGCAGCCATCTTGACCTTTAAGGCAGAAGCAGGAGCTCCTTTCCTGGTTTTACAGAAGTGACCTCAAATAGCCGAATGAAACCCCCTGTCACTGGGAAGAGGAAGCAACTGAGGAAAAGGAAGATGAGAAGCACACTTACACATGGCGCATGGCATCCTCAAAGAGAACTAGGTCCATCACTGTGTTGACTTCATTGTGGTTCTCCAGGGCCTCCACCAGAGTCTGGGTCAAAAGTTCCCAAGACTGTACAGGCATGTATTTGGGCTCCCCAATACCATTTGCAAAGTGACAATACAGGTTCGGGCTTTGGGTCTGCTCCACAGGGTCTTCAATATCCTGGTGATGAGACACAGGAATAAGGGTCCTCATTATTGACTCCTAGGGCTTGGTTCCACAGAGCAGAGACACCTGATTTGCTCTGCACATTCCCTGGAAATTAAGCATCAGTGCTACTTCCAACATGTCCTTCTCTTGAGAAGTCCTTTTAAGTGGATGTTTGACATCCATCTACCAGCTCCATGAAGCCTCAGGTCATGTTTGTTATTCTTTATGGCCTGAGGATGGGAAGTGGGAGGTGGGATGGAGCCTCCTCACAAGCACAGTAAGAGAGTGCCTCTGTGAGAAGAAGAGTAGATAGGGATGGATGGGTGGCTTTCTCTAAGTGGGGACTCTTTCGCCAGTATCGAATGAAGAGGATCGTGGCCCAGTCGCCTCACTTTCTGCATGTACATTCCAACAGATCTAGGTCCTCAATCCACAGCAAAGCCATCCAACATCTTTTCCTGTGAGATTACACAAGTATGTTGCCAGCCCTGACTTCACAGGTTCGGTCCAGGGACTTGGTTTCTGAAGAATGCGCTACTAGCCACCCTCAGGTGACTGGTGCATTTATGGTAATCTTAACGCATTTATGGTAGAACTCCTTACTTACAACACTTTCGGGCTGTGTGTCAAATCTCACCCATAGGAGAAATGTTACCATGTTGAATAAATATGGGCTGGTTATAGTATAGTAAAACTCAATTAATTTGAAGGATAAGGAGTATATGTCTCTTCACCAGTGTATCCTCTAAATACTGAAGAGAAAACCAATTTTTTAACTTTCATGTTAGTGGAGACAAAAAGTAACTACTTGCCTGTCAAAACCCAAATACCTGAGACTTCAGATAGGAGAAAAGGTTATCGAGGAGAAAAGTCCGAGAAAGAATAGGTTTTCTAAGACACAAATAGGAAGGAAGTTATGCCAGCATGAGCAGTTGTCCCCACCTGTCGTTTTTTCCTCCTAAAGTTCACACTGGAAGACCTACCTGGGAAAGAGGTAACCAGTATGTTATTTATCAGCAGGCACACGTCCCAGGGCATAAGTCACTGTAGGGTTAGCCATGTAAACCTATGGGACAAGATTCACCAAACCTAATATAGGGCAAGTGAGGAAGACAGTAACATCTATAGAGAAACCAGGGCTGCTGCCTGAGTGTAAGAAGAAAGGACTAGAAACAGTTAAAAATAAACAAGTTATTAGATTTTGAAGGTGGTTTCAAAAACTGTAGAAAACTTTTAAACTATTCTGGCTTTGCCAACCAGTAACAAAAATGCTCAGACATTTGGATAAGATGTAAATGCAGTGCAGGAGGGCTATTCTTGCTATTAGGAAAACACATGAGGACGGAGGAAATAATGTGGGAAGGCATTTACCCTGTTCGAGAATGGGCTAACGTCCTGGGAATCTGTTCTTATAGCAGTCAATTGACACCAACCATCTAGCGGAGGAGGAACTAAAGTACAGTTTTGGAAAGCCTGGTTTACAAAGACTCTTTGATGAACAAAACAAGTCTTCGATTTTTTGATCAGAGCCATGCTGTGTAGAAGGCAGAGAGAAAATCAACCAACTCAGCGAATCAAAGATTCCTTAATAGTGATGCCAAATCACACAGGGCCATGAATCAGAGAAGCTTAAGCTTTGAATAGTGGAAACAGAATTGTATCGCTTCGTTGGTGGAAATCTGGCAAATCTTCCTTGATACCAATACCAAGATTTGGTGTGACCAAGGGTGCTTCAGGCTGGCATTTCAAATGTTGTTGGGGAAGGATAATGGCAATATTCATATATCTGGGTCTGTGATCAAAAGGCAGCGCTCTTAGTACATAGACTCACACGTGGAAACTCTATTTGAAAGTTCAAGTGTTATGACTCTGAAGTGCTAGCTCAGATCAACTTATAAAGACAATGAAGACTAATCTGCAGGGCCAGCAATGAGTACCTGAATTGGGTAACTCTACGATGCTCAGAGAAATGCATCTAACATGAGGGTCTCAAACATCAGGCTCCAATAACAATGCTGAGAGAAGTGGGAGAATTTAGGACGGCTGGCTTAGTCAAAAGCAGACTAAAATAAGTGACTTAAAATGCTTCTGAACATTCAAAAGGCTGTCACATAGGTTGGGATGGACTGTAAATATTTTCAGAGGTAGAGTCAAGGTGTTATCAGGAAAAAAATACGGAGGTAAACCAAACAAGGTAAGTATAAGGACAACATAGCATACCTAAATACAAAATTTGAATATTTCTAATTTCCAGAGGGGACAGACAAGCAGGATGTGTGGAAAAGATGGGGCTTTGGTTAATAGAAGGCTCAGTGTTCACTGTGGAGTAATTTCAACACTAAGAAATACAATACGATCTCAGGCTGTGCTACTATATCAATGCCTCCCAAGGCATAATCTATGGGCCATTTTTATGTAAATTATTAGTAAGTTTAATGAGAGGAAAGAGTTTTAGGGTCCAATACATTTGCAGAGTGATATGTAAATTAGAGTTATTCAAGATTTCAGGACTTTAATGTCTTAAATCCACCATGAATTTCTAAGAGAGTCATATACAATACAGCATTTTCTCAACTTATTTCATGACAGACACTTTCTCAAGAAGTATCTTGTAGTAAAACTGTTTAGCAGGACATATTTTGGGAAACACAGTAACAAAACTATGGTCTTTAAGAAAACGGAGAATGATGATCTTGCTTTTGGTCAGACCCCAGCTGGGCTGTGCGACGAAAAGTCAGGCACCACAATTTCAGAGGGGAGGACTGGTGAGAGAGCAATCAGGAGGATGTCAGAGTTCTTTAGGTTTGAAACCAATCCATGTCAGAAATGGTTAAAAGCATTGAGGCTATTTGGCCTGGAGAAGAGAAGACTCAGGGAGAGTGAGATAAATGGCATTAAAATATTTGAGGGTTTGTCATGTAGACCTGAGTAGTGGACAGAGAAATAACTTCTAGATTATTATTAGACCAAATGTTCAGTCTCTAAAATTATTTCAAATGTTCCAAGTTCCAAAATTGCTCAAAATTTCCAGTTATTAGCAGCCCCAAAATGGCAGCCTTGGGACCAATGGGATCATGCATTTTCAAGGATGCTAGAGCATCACTGGGGTAACAAATCTGAGAAATGCTACGAGGGGACTAAGTACCACGTAGGGACTTGGGTCAGATGATCTCTATGGACTTCTCAACACAGAGATTCTGGGATTAATTTGCATCTATTCTTGCCTCAGCATTTTTTACCTGGGCAAAATCATGACAGAATTTCCTTCCTCACCTAGACTCTGGCCTTTCTCCATGAAACAGCTAGATTTTATCATTTGGGTGATCATCTGTATAATTCTCTTTTTTTTTTTCAAATACAAAAAAATCCATAGGGCAATACTCACATCAAAAGTTTTCTTGAGCACTTCTCTCTGGATTTTATCAAAAAGATCAAAGTCCTTTTCTTCTACCATCTTATCCCGATAAACTCGATTTGATTCATGCAGATAGAGCCTTATGAGATCCCGTGTGGATTTCACACATTCCACTGAGGAGAAGAGAATGCCCTTCAAGGGAACAGACACACAAAAAATAACATTAGTAACCATCCAGAGGTACAGTAGCTAGGAAAACTTTCTGGAGCATTTTATCTAACCTGGGATGATGCCCAGGGCTTGTCTTGCTAAATAGTAGATCATTCTAGTGGCGGGAATACTTGGAAAGCTGAAAGGGAGCTTGTAAAGAAAGACCCAAGGGTTGCAGTTAGACAGACCTGACTTCAAATACTTGCACAACCACTATGTGACTTGTGACTGTGGGCAACCACTAGGCAACTGTGTGACTTCGGGCAAGGCATGTGACATCTCTGAGTCTTAGTTTTCTCACTTTTCAAAGTAGAATAAAAATACTGACTTTCTAAAGTGGTCTAAATAATTCAAATTAATATGCCTAAGGAAACAAGTATTGCTCATTTTACATACTCAATACATTGGAATTATTCTTTTGTGCTCATCATAAAAATAACAACTGCAACAGCTATAATTTATTGAAGCAAGTTATGTGGATTAGATGCTATTGAAGCCAGCATTGGACTAGATGCTTTGCCAGATGAAGCTCTTTTAATACTCATGATGATCCCCTGAGATAATTATTACTAAATCCATTTTGTATAATGTGAAGATTGGAATTCAGAAAGAAAACATGCCCCATTTCATAGAGTAAGTTGCCTTCCTTCAAACCACAAATTTTTGAAACCAGGTCTTCCTGACTATAATGCCTGGAATTCTAGCCACTACATTTTGAATCAACCACAATGAGGGAAAAAGTGGTTTCTCTGCTATATTTCAATTCCACAAGTGCCATTTTGAAAACTGATTCAGATAACAATTGACTATGTAAAATCAGAACTATAACAAAGGGCTAGAATGGATATAGCTAACCTTGGCAGGTCAGCAATCTATTTATTTATCTCTCTAGTCAGTTCCCCTTCCTATGTGCTACAGGATTGGTTTCAAATATTTATTATTCTTTTCAAATTTCTCTGTCATCTTTTTCTGTTACTATTAGCCAAAGTCCTAACCTTCTTTTCTTTTACTGAAAAGTGGAGACCCAATGTTAGAGCCCCTCAATAACCTCAACAAATTCTCTAAGTTCAAGCTCATCTATGTCTGTGCCTGTTCTCATTGCTTACTTTCTTGTCTTAGAGGGAAAGGGATCATTTAATGGGTCTTTACTTAAATTCAGAGAATAATGTGCAGATCCATTAGCATAGAATATAGGTCTGGTGACAGTGTTACTACAATCTGCTTCCTCATGATCGCTCTTTTTTTTTTTTTTGAGATGGAGTTTCACTCTTGTTGCCCAGGCTGGAGTACAATGGCTCAATCTCGACTCACCACAACCTCCGCTTCCCGGGTTCAAGCAATTCTCCTGCCTCAGCCTCCTGAGTAGCTGGGATTGCAGGCATGTGCCAACATGCCCAACTAATTTTGTATTTTTAGAAGAGACGGGGTTTCTCCGTGTTGGTCAGTCTGGTCTCGAACTTCCGACCTCAGGTGATCCACCTGCCTCGGCCCCCCAAAGTGCTGGGATTACAGGCATGAGCCACTGTGTTCGGCCCCTCATGACCACTCTTATCACTACTTCCCAAAAAACCTAGATTCCAGTTTCAGAAAATTCCCATTATGTTCTGATCCTGTACCCTTTTCTGTGCCTTCATGCCTTTTGTTTTGCTTGCCATGCTCATATTTCAAGATCTAGCTCAATTGAAGCCTCTTGTTGAAGTCGCCCAAGACACCTCTCCTGCCCAGTGGCGTTCCCTCCCATGTGTCTCACAGAGCCTTTATGTATGTATCTCAATTACAGAAGAATTATTAGTTTCTCAAATTATTTTTAATATTATTTTTGTGACAGAGTCTCACTTTTTGTCACCCAGACTGGAGTGCAGTGGCGCGATCTCGGCTCGCAGCAGCCTCCACCTCCTGGGTTCAAGCAGTTCTCGTGCCTCAGCCTCCTGAACAGCTGGGATTACAGGCATGCACCACCACACCCAACTAATCTTTGTATTTTTAATAGAGACAAGGTTTCACCATATTGGCCAGGCTGGTCTTGAACTCCTGGCCTCAAGTGGTCCGCCTGCCTTGGCCTCCCAAAGTGCTGGATTACAGGCATGAGCCACCTCACCCGTTGTCAAATTATTACTTTGTCTTTGTACAGGTTTGCTTCTTCCAGGTGATGGCAAATGTCTCAAAGGTAGGGAATTTGACAGACTTTATTTAGGTTGTGGTTTATTTTTATAATTGTATTATTAGTATTTAGTAAGTGATAAGTCTGAAGCTAATTTCTCAACGGAAACAATAAAAGAAGGCTTCAAATTGCTGAAAGAAAATAGCTACCAACCTAGAAATCCAAGTCACCCCTAACATTTTTTAAAAATAAGAAATATATTTTTGGTCAAATTAAAATTGCAAGATACTTCTCCAACAGATATGAACTAAAGTAAATACTAAAAGAAGTTCTTCAAGTGAAATAAAAATGATCCTAGGTGAAAGAACAGAAATTTACAGGAATAAAGAGCAATGGAAAAGGTAACGTATGAGTAATTCTAAAGGAATGTTGAATTACTAAAACACAGATATCAGTGGGTTTTCAAAATACAGAGGATTAAAATAAATGACAGCACAAAAGTCAATGGGAGGTAAATTGTCCCAAGATCCTTGCATTGTATGGCAATTAATAAATATGCTAATTTATAAAAGACAAAAAGATAAAATGATGCCTTTGATAACCATTAGATGAATAGCAAAAGGATATATACTATGCTAAAAGAGGGAGAACAATTATAAAAACATAATTAGTTTGATAGAATACAAGAAGCAAGAAGAAAGGAAATAGAATAGGTAGAATATATTAAAAACAAAGAGTGTAAGTAGATTTAATCATAAATATATTATTATATAAAACAACATAGATGAACTAAACATTGTAATTAAAAGGCTATGTTGTCAGGCTGGAGTTTAAAGAGACCAACTGTATGCTGCTTATGGGAGATACACCTTAAATATAAGAATATGGAAAAGCTGAGTGCAAGAAAGTGAAAATGTCATAAAAATATTGACTAAAGAATATGGAATAGTCATATGTCATACAAAATTGACTTTAAAGCAAACATCGTTTTTAGAGATAAAGAAGTGCACTTAATAAATAAGAAAAAGATCAGTCTGCTAGGAAGATATACTAATTCTAAATTTGTATGCACCTAATAAATAGCATAGTTTCAAAATGTATAAAGTGAATATGACAAATAAAAGGAAAAATAAACATACCCACAATCACAGTGAAACATCTTAACATCTCTCTCAGGGACTGAAAGAACAAGCAGACAAAAAAATCTAGAAATTATAGGATTTTTTTAAACAACATGATTTACAAGGTTGCTTTAACTGGAATATTGATAAAACCATGCCCAATATCTGCAGAATGCATTTTTTAAAACCTGCACATTGATTATATCTTGGGACATAGAGCAGTCTCAACAAATTTCAAAGGAATAAAACCATATAGAGTGTTTTCTGACAACAGTAGGCATCAATAAGAGAAAGATAACTAGAAAATCTCTACATGTTTGAAAAAAAGCAATACACTTCTAAATATTCCATGAGTCAAAGAAGAAATCATAGTGGAGATTAAATATTATCAACTGAATGATAATAAAATACAGCATATAAAAGCTTGCATGATGTAGCTAATGGTATGATTAGACATAAATTTATATAGCCTTAAAATGAGTATTTTAGATGAGACAAAAGACGACAATTAATGATATAAGTAGCCATGCCAAGAAGTTAGAATAAACTAACCCCAAACCCAGGGTAAGTAGGAATAAAAATTATAAAGCAAAGAGTGAGTATTAATAATATACAAAATGGATATCAAATTAAGACAGTAAGAAAGTCAAATGCATAATGCAGGTGGTATACCCTTCAGCTTTTTGACTAGCACAATTGCTAACTCCCTAGCAAGGATGATGAAGAGAAAAAAAGAGAAAAGACACACATAATACCCAACATAAGGAAGAGGACATAATGTCAGATACAGCAGATATTTAGAAGATAATCTGAAAATATTGCAAATAATTTTATGCCAGTAAATTAGCAACTATTGATAACATGGATATCTTAACATGACTGACGCATGAAGAAACAGAAAATCTGAATAGTCTTATATGTATTAAAGAATTTGAATTTATAATTTAAAACCTCTACCAAACAAACCTCCAGGTGGTTTCACCAGTAAATTCTTTCAACATTTAAGGAAGGTGCAACACAATGTTTTACTAAATCTTTTAGAGAACAGAAAAAGAGAGAACATTTCTCAAAGTATTTTATGAGGACTTTATAACCTCAGAATATTAGAGAAAGATTACAAGACAATCTTATGAATATAGATGCAAAAATTATATTAAAAATTATTAAATGACATCTAGGAAAATATTAAAACAAAGACATGAAACAACCAAGATGAGTTGATTCCAGGAATGGTTGATTTAATGTTTGAAAATAATCAATGTAATTTACCATATTACCAGACTAAAAGAGAAAAAATTTATATAATTAAACAGATGCAGAAAAATCATTTGTTAAGTTTCAACACATATTCATAATTAAAACTCTTAGTAAACTATAGACAGAAAAATATTTCCTTAAAAGGTACCCAGGTAAAAGGTACCCAGAAAAACCAGTAGAGAACATCATATTTTTTTTTTTTTTTTTTTTTTACGGAGTCTACCTTCTTCTCACCCATCCTCTGTCCTTCAGAATCTTCTTATTTTGTTGCCTAGTTCCTCAGAACTAGGTTCCTTTGGCCATAATCATTTAATATATTTGAATAGAAAACCAAATTTTTTTTTTTTTTTTT